AGACAGCATCTGGAACATAACGGATGGTATTATTTTCGCGCGCCGTCACCACGGTGGTTTTCCCGAACTGCGAAAGGTTACGCTGGACGAAGTTGGCAACCCTATTAATCATGACTGGGCCGGAGGCCCCATTAGCCGTCTGCAGGAGCTCGGTATCGAGGTGGAGGCTTGGGTGCGGGATTGGTCGTCAGATGCCTACTGGGAGTCGCAATCTTCTTCAGACTCGCACCGCTACAAGGCGTGGTTGAGCTCAGAACCGCGCCACTTACGTTTGCCCCCAGGCCCAGAACCGGGCTTATCGTCATTTGATTGAGCCTTTTGGACGCGGCGGGCACGAGGGCTGGCAACAATGCGTGTCGCATTTGCAAGGTTCGCTGCATCCACGCTATTGTAATCTAGTGAGTAGTCTCTAAGATAGCGTATGCTACTAGAAAGATGAAAATTTGGATGAGAATTCTGTAGAATGCGGAGTTTTTGCAACCCCCAGTGCGGGTCATCGTGATCATCGGAGCTCTAATCATGTGGAAGACGTAGGATTGCTTGTCAGTGCAATCAACCTAAGTGAACTTCATCTGTGTGACTTGTATGAATGAATTTCGCAGTGCGATGTGAAGATCTGAGGAATGATTACAGCTTATGAGCAGCAGCGTTTTCTACCCCGTGTGTCAGGAGGCTTTGATCTCGAGACTGTCTTGAACTATGTCAGCAACAACCATGGCTATGCCGGGAGACCCGTGCCCAAGGTGCATCAATTCCCCGAACGACAAGCTTCCACCACTGCAAGCGACTTTGAGTGGCTCCCGCTGTCAAAGTGACCTTATCTGTAACCAGCGAGCATAGACGAGCGTCAGCCCATACGCGTGGATATGATCGCCGAGGTGTCATACTGAGAGCTAGCCACCCGAACGCCGTGCCTAACGAAGCCCAAACAACGGGTCGCGCTTCTGGAGAGCATCCTGGTAGCGCATCTGTGCTAATAGTGTAGTGTTACCGACATTGCATACCGGGTTCGGCGCATAGTTCCTGCATATGAGTGGCTCTGAAGACTGATACAATGCTCCATTGGCGAGAACTGGGTCCGTGGCTGAGCCAGATACCGGGAATCTTGCACTACAGTGACTTCGAGTAGCGACCACGCGCAACTCACATGGCTGTCTTTGAGAGTCGTGGTACCGGATCGGCTCGTAAAACGCCATCGAGGCACCAGTGCAGCGGGTCGTATGAGCACAAGCTGACTGTGACTGCTAGATGGTGTTCCGAATAGTTGCCATCGGTTCTGAGTCGTAGTCATCAAAAAGGGTTTCCGCGATCATGATGCGGACTCTCCGAAGTCGTAGCTTACCCAAAACGGTCGCGTAGTGGCAGTCGCCACACCAGAGATGGCTGGCCGGTATATGCAAGGGCGTTAGGCGCATACCGAGCCGATCACATGTCATGGGCTGGAGCTAGACAGAATCCTTCACCGCCACTAGATATGCTCTTACTTTATGGTTGACGTGCCATTGGAACGTGTGCGGGTGTGTGTGAGGTGTCGTGCGTGGTTACGCAGTGCAGGGATTGCACATCGGCTTCAGGCATCAAGAGCCAAGTGTGTCCTGCAGTCAGGCGTGGTCTTCGCGTCCATGGCCAATTGCCGGTGAAAGGGCCTGTCGGTCGTGCTGCTCGCAAGGATGACGCACCGACCCAACGAGGGGCAAGAGCTGGCGGGGCTACTGCTAGGACCCGAATATTCCTCCACGACCTTCCATGGCCGTGACCATGACATTTTTCCAGGAAATGCCGTCCTCCCATTGCGCTGCATGTCGGCGCGCGCAATCCTTCTCCTACAGTTGCGTGCAAACAATCCCCGCCACTGGTGTCATGCAATGTCTGATCCTCCGCATCCCGTTCCAGATTGCATGCTCAAAGGCGCTGGCAGCTGTCGAGCCAACGCATCAACTTGACAACACTTAGCATGGCCGTCCGGCAGACTACCCATGCATGTACATAGCTCCACCGGCGCTGCTTTTACACGGCGTTGGCGTCTGCGTCTGCTGCGCTTACTCTGCCTTGCTGCCTTTAGCAACGCACTGATGCCGGCCATCGACGGTACTGCTTCCACAGACGCGACCTTTCGCCATTGCACGCCAATTCGCTCCGCTGAACCTTCTATGCTGATACGAGCTGGCCCTTTTGTCCACTAGTCTCTTGTCCTGGCCAATTGGCACATTTAGCATCCAGTATCGCTCCGAGGCATCGTGGATCGGCTGCCGTCTACGGCCAAGGACACTCATCCAGCCCAGTCTAAATGACGCTCATCAAGCCGGCTCTAGCGGAAACAGACCTCAGTGGACGTAAGACTATGCACCTTTATCACCACAAGGGCGGGGTCGCGAGCTTGAGCCGGCATGAAGGGGTCAGAGCATTGCCCCGTTGACCAGCATGCTCCTAGTACGTCTCTGGCTGAAGGGTATAAAAAGAGGCCCTTTCACAGGCCCTAAGAGCTTCCCTTCTGCTTCTGTATTCACTCACCTCTTTAGAGATATCACTAGATTGCACCACATTCAAGCCCTGTCCTGAGCCACCTCCAGTGCCTCATCAATCACTCAACCTATCATACAACTTGAGCCTCGCTCCGACACACTACCCAACCTTTTCTCAACACCCCTCAGAGATCCAAACGCTACCCAAAATGGCTGCCACCCACTCGTTCTACCAATTGCCCCAATCTTCTTACCCGATCAGCATGCCACAGAAGCCGGGCTTCTACTACCCGCCCCAACACCATGGCTACGGACGTGGAGCAGCATCACCACCTGAAGCTCCATCCAGCGTCACAACATCCGGCGTACCTTCTTACGAGCCTTCGGCGACTTCCAGCAACTACGCCGGTAGCGCAAGCGACTACGATTCGAGCAGTGGCTCTGCGAGCGTAGATCTTCTCGATTACATGGGCAGCCGTGTAAACGGCTCATTCGACCCAATGCCACTAGACCGCAGCTTAGCCAAGCAAGCACAAACGTAAGTTTGAAAACCGTATTACCGCGCGACTGTTCGCGCGAATTCGTTTGCGTTTGCGGAACTGACACAACGTGCAGATCTGGCGAGTTGAACGCCAAGCATCGCGAGCTTCTCGAACTGCAACAACTTGCTCAGCGCCGACTAGCTGGCGCACGCATGAGCTTCGCAGACGGCATGAAAGCCGCGAAAGACGTGCAGAGAGATTTGCAATACACACAGAAACGCGTGGAGTGAGTGAACAGCGACTCTAAACTTGAACAACATGACTGACAATTTGGTAGCTCTCTCAACGAGCGTGCGGCGCGAAAGTACCCCGAGCAGTTCCGCACCGCCCAAGGCCGATACCCAGCACCTCTTGACTACTAGTTCTTTGCGCTTCTTACGATATTTGCCTAACGGCCTGTGGATGATACAACCATACAACTTTTCGGATTTTCTCAAAACACGGGCGGCATACGTTCACTTCACGATTCCACGGATACCATCGACTTCATTATTTCATTTATAACTCAGGACGTCTCCAAATCGCTTATGGTAGACGTCAAAACGCGAACTGTCGTTCACGATCCACTCTCGGTAGACGGGCTCGCTGCTTTAGCGACCCACACGCCGGCTTTTCTTTTCCCAAAAATATACCGCGGACCGGCCCGCTGTTCGATGCAAGCGCTCAGCGAATGGCAGCTGTCAATCGACTCAAGGCACTCAGATAGTGCGGCGCTGGCGTGGTCCATGCCAACGGTCGACGGGCCAGAGGCGAGCTGCGAGCTGGAAAGCTGGTACGCTTGCTTATTCGTCGAACATGTAAGACTGGAAGGTGGGGCTTCAACGGCGGCTATGAAGTGTTGAGCAAGGCTGCGTATTCTGTTTTCATCTCCTTGGTTTGGGAAATGGACTGCTTCTGGATCGGCGTCATGAACTCATCATATCATGTGATAGACGGACGGACGGACGGCTCGCCAGTCACGAGTGTCTCTTTGGGGTAGCGTCTTCGTTCTTCTTAACGTGTTTATGTAAATCCACTTCCAAGCGGAGTGACCCACTCGCACGCATGCAAAATGCACTTGTTGAATTAGGTTCAGCGTGAGAAATGTTAAGAAACCGTGACTTTGATCTTGCTCAAGTGTACCGTTGCAGCGGATTTGTAAGATGCACTCGTAGACCTTCTCACTGTACACGTGCCCGATCCCCATTCCAACACTGTAGCTGTGATCTCAAACCTAGCCAGTTGCTAGCCATCCCTTAACCGAACTGTAGTAGACCCATCCCAACGTCCCAACCGATCTCAGCTAGCCCATTCCGTTACACAAAACAACACCGGTTTAGAGTTTCAGATCTCGCCCCACCACCGTCTATCTAAGACCAGTATTCCAACCCAACAGACGCAAGCCACCATATGTCGTGCACCTCTGCCCCACCTAGACCTCGACCCCACCTCGCATGCTCGTTCACCCAACGGCTCGGTCTCGCCCACTCGGAAGCAGGGCGGCCCAAGTGCGACTCGGGAAGTAGGAAAGGAAAACGCGGCGGCGAGCTCCGAAACCACGGACTTGTAGGTTGGACTTACTGGGATACGACATGATGATGCCGTGTCTTCCGGGGGTGTTGTTGAGATCAGGAGTACGGGGTGTCAGATGTATGTGAGGTTATTGGAATGGAGTCTGACAGTGACAGGTTTTCTGCAGGTGAGCGGGCATGTAGGGTGATGTTGTGTACCGAGGACGGTTCCGAACGAGAAGTGAGCGAGGTTGTGTCGTGGATGATGGTACTTGAACAGGGATTGGGGTAGAAGTGAGGCGGATATCGTTTGAACGTTAGGTGTAAACAAGTGCGAGTACATTGAGGCATGAAAGGGGATAGGTTGTGACTGTGGTGTGGTATATCATCTCTATTGGGTTTGCTCCATGCATCTACAGAAGCCATGACCACAGTGGTCGTGGCAGAGATCTACAGATACTCCATCTGAAAAGTTCACGAGTAGTTCGTCAAACTTAAACCCCAGTCTATATCGACCCTCGGTTCGCAGCAATAGCACGAGACATGACGCGAGCGAAGCGGCCAGGTACATCCTGGTCCTGTTTCGCCGTCTCGATACCGGTGAGGATCTTCTTGATACCAACCCCAATTTCGGTGTTACCTGTCATCTCCTGGATCTCACTGATGGCGCGCTGTTGGTCGGAATCGGAGAAGGCACCGGATTCCCGCAGGACGGCTGCCAGCTCGGATTGTGTGTTGACGTTCGGGACGGCGATCTCGGCGTCGAATCGGGCGAAGAGATCGAGCTGCGTGAGTACCGAGCGTTCGGTCGTTGTCGCGAAGATGAGTAGGCGACGATCCTAGGGTTGTTAGATGGATTACACAGTAGAAGCGGGATAGTGAGGCTACATACCTTTGGTGGCTCCTTGGCAAGCAGGACCTTCAGGGCAGCCAAAACGGTGTTACTGAACCTAGGGCCAATCGGCACCCAGTCCAGTAAGAGCTCGATCGAGTCGATGACAATGACGCTCAACGGACTCTTGTACGCGTCTCGGAAAACTTTATCCAGCTGTTGAACCTTTTGCATTTCACTGTAGCCGATCATATCTTCAGCGGAGATCAGCTTGATGAATGGGTAACCTGAGTCGATTGCCATTTTCGCAGCCAGCGCTGTCTTTCCGGAACCTGGGGGACCGTGGAGCGCAACTGAGAGGAGCGGACTCGATTCCGGTTTTCTGACCTGGTTGATGTATAGACGACCATCCTCCAGTATATCCCTGATGAAGGGCGAGTAATGGATGATACCGTGACGGAATCGCTTGCTGAGTTCCTCTTCAGCGACACCAAAGAGCGGCTTAACGTCGTCGAGTGCGCTCAAGAAGTCTTGTCGCATGACCTTGATATCTTCCACGTCTGCTTTGACAGTAGTGCCATCCTTAATATGCCGGCCAAATGCGTACGACGTGGCGGCCTTGACCAGACCGTTGAGCTCAGCTCCAGAGAAGTTCTTGGTCAGCTTAGCCAGCTCTTCGACGCTGACGTCTTGCTCAAGGACGTTGTTCTTGCGCATCTTTGTTGTGTGAATCTTGAGAATCTGGGCTCGGCCGGACTCATCGGGCAGCGAAATCTCCAGATGCACTTCGAGACGACCGGGACGCAGAAGAGCCTCGTCGATCATGTCCATTCGGTTCGTCATACCGATGAGGAGGATGTTGTGTAGCTGGTCAACACCATCGAGCTTGGACAGCAGCTGGTTGACAACGCTGTCGCCTACGCCAGTACCACTACCCGCGCCAGAACCTCTTTGCTTGCACACGGCGTCAAGCTCGTCGAAGATGATGATATGTAGACCACTTTCGTCGCCCTTCTCTTTTTGTTCTTTCTCTGCGTCTGCGAACATCTTTCGGATGTTCTCTTCGGACGCTCCAACGTACTTGTTCAACACCTCCGGACCGTTGATAACCTTGGGCTCCCTGGCATTCAGCATCTTTCCGATTTGCCGAGCTATCAAGGTTTTACCAGTACCGGGAGGACCGTACAGAAGCATACCGCGGACGTGATCGATACCCAGCCTCTCCCGAATACCCGGAGGGAAGATACGGGAGGCGAAAGCTCGTCGAAAGATGGCACCGAACTCAGCATCCAAACCACCAATACCCATGTCTTCAAACTTGAAGCCTGGCTGAATAATAGAGTTTGCCGCTGCCCGTCGCGCTGACGCCTTTAACTTGATGTCTGTCTTGGCATCCTTGAAGAAGTCGACCTGAGTGTGTCTTGTGAGGATGCCACGAGCTCGAGGATCGGTAATCGCAGGCGCGTTGGCCTCATCTTTCTCCATAGACAAATCCGCTAGCGTCACAGTTCGTATCGATAACTTGAGTGGTATGTTCTTGATGTCGATCACAAGCTGCTGGCCTGGCGAAAGGATTTGGTTCTCGAAACTCTTCTTGAAGACGGTAGCGAGCTCGTCCTGATCGTAAGGTGTCTCCGTGGTCTTCCTTCCCGCGAATCCGACTTCCACGTCCACTGCGCCCAAGTATGACTTTCCGCCGCTGTACGCGAAGTGATCGTATGGTGCTGCGTTCACAACCTCCTGGGGACCAAGCGATATGCCGGCCCATGTTCGCTGGAAATCAGTGAGACCGATCTCGCCCGGGTTGCATCCTTGTGTTGGTCGTGCGGAGAGTGCGTAGTTCCCGTTAACAATGATGTAGATATCGGAGCCGTCGGCGTTTGGTGGGAAGTCTTGAGGGGAAACTGCGACGCTTTACGGTATTAGCCAACATCCCGAAGTTGTAAATATCTAGGTTTTGAGGAGACCTGCAGGCGAGATCGCCGCTAATTGTACATACATGTTGCCAAATGCGTAGGCGTTGCCTCCTGGGCTCTTGATGGGCCGCAGTTGTCGTGGAGGCCCGCCGCCTCCACCGCCCCCTGGTGGTCCCCTTGCGGGCATGCGCTGTTGTTGCGGCCGGTCATCATATCCCGCCATTCTTGTGTCTTGGCCTCGCGGAGGTCCTTGTGGTGGTTGCTGTTGCGGAGGTGGGCGTCCGTAACCGTCGTTACGAGGCGGTGGCCGAGGGGAGCTACCAGGAAGGCCTGGAAGTCGATCGCGGTTGAACATCTTGGTGGTGGGAGGATGTCGCTATCGAATTCGGGGGCATATAAAGTGAGAGAAGGTGGATGCCACGTATTCGTGAAGACGTTGGGAGGCAGCAGCAATGGGGCCTCACGGGGTCGCAAAGGTCTCCAGGCTACAGTATAAGGACAGGTTTAGCCGGGTCGTGGTGTAATGTCTACTCCTCGATGATCTGTCCAGTCCAAAAGCTATGCAAGCCGAAGCAGAAACAAGCGTGATACAACCTGACCGTCAGGGTCTGTGGTGCCGCGTGGGGAGCTTCAGGAACGCGCTTTGGCCAAGCCACACGCCACACGTCATCCCCGCCGCCGCCACTAGGGGAAGGCTAGGATTCGAGGCGTTTACGCACACACGAATCAATCTCAACAACTTCACAGGCCATAGGATAATGTATGCGTTTACCATGTCGACGTTTTTGATACCGACTGGTAGAATGCGACGGAACAAAAGCCCTTCCAATATCAAGCGGGTACCAACATGTTGTTGAAAGACCTCACGCTGCCCAGGTGCTCAGTAGCCCTTCCCAAGATGCACTGCATCGCCTCCGCCATACCAAAGGGGACCCGTCCCACAATGCAAACCCTTTTCCTGGCCCACGTTGAACTCTCCACCAGCAGGTATCTTGCCTTCATTATGTCCCGGCCAGTAGTCTTTCTGCAGCCACGCGTTGATCTCCTCGATCTTGTCGATCAAAGCCTTCGTCTTCTCAGGATCTAGCGAGCCGTTTCCGTCTTCCTGATCTTTGGTATATATGAAGCGGCCGATGGTGAGATGGCTTGACGGTACGACATATCGCGATTCCACTTGAAGACCTGCATCGCGACACATGGAGAACATATCTCGGCGAAGATGGTGGTAAGTGAACTTGTCGTCCTCGGGCGTACGGCCAGAGTGCAGTCCCTCGCCAGCTGCAGGTACAAAGCTCAACGCTATCGCCGAGGCATCGTACCCGATAAGAGGCTTAATGAGGCGCGTGCGATGCTCGTGGGTATAGTCGGCCATAGCAGGTATCTTGTCTCGCACACTATCGACAAGTTGCTGGATCTCTGGTGCCGTCTTCGAATGCGTTACCTCAAGTACTGTAATGTGCTGGTTGTCCCGGGGCATGAGCCATAGATCTGCTGTCATTAGCATTGCAATACGGTAGCCATGATATTGTGCCTACTTGGTGCTACTGTTCGCAGTTCCTGCTGCACTCGGGCGATCATATCTTTGACTTGCTCTGTAGGACGGCCCCAGAATACCTGCACATGATAAGTACACGTATCGAGGCAAGTTGTACATCAGCAATCTTACGAAACAGTTGCGGGGATCTTTGAATCCAGGTTCGACAGTGGCGTCTTCCAGTCTCAAGAGTATGGGATCTATGTTGACGCCCTGGAAGCTCGTATCGAGCATCTTCACCTTTTGCTGCGCATTCCTCGTGGTCCGGTGCAACTGGTACTTTTCTTGGATTCGTACCTGCGTTGTTTGATAAGTACATGCAAAGATCAGATATTAAAGAATCTTACCGGATCATCCTCACATGCCGATATCAATGCATCATACGGGTTGCTGAAGGAGGAAGTCGAGACACCAGTGAGGTCCTCAAATGTGTTGACTGCCTGATTAGCCATGAAGTGTGCTACGAATCGTGGTGAATACAGGATAATGCAAGGGCGCTGTATATTTCTTTCGGTATTGCGGTGAAGGTAATACGAGTACCAAGCCGCGAGGGTGGGTACGTAGGTATACATTGAGCTGAATGCTGTCCGACTTCGCTACGTAGGATGGCACCTTCCCTCTCAGAGTAGCCTATCCGCTTCGGCTGTGCATGCCTCAAAGGGACACACACAAACCCTCTCGCCCTCAATTCACCTCATGGCCTACTCAGCCCATTTTATCTCTCATCGTGTCTTTCCCAGGTCATGCAGTCCAGCGGCGAGAGACGGCATGCGGGGTACGTGCCCTGACAGGATGCCCCACGTGCTTTCGCTCCACTAGCGCGACGCGTCGTCGCGCTACGTGCTTGCATGCCGCATGAACTCCATTGACTTTATTGCCCTCAACGCGCAAATCGCATGCCATGAGCGAACCGCGCCACTTCATTCTTCTATCCCTAGATTGACGGCTGTGCCGATACTCAATTACGTGTCTTGCATCGAAATACTCTCACCATGGGACAAAACAATTCGCGTAAGCGGAAGCGCGTCACCCAAGTGTCACCTTCACACAGCGTGTCTGAGTACGACGATGATATCATTCATGTTGCACCACGGCCACACACCACCAGCAAAGGGAATCCTGAGCGCACTCCTCTGGCCGAGACACAGACACGAGGCAATCGCGCTCACCGCACGCACACAGCCCAGCATGTCCATGTTATGCCGTTCACCTTATCATCACCACTAGCTGTCCCTCGAGAGCTAACCAATTGCAGTTGACGCACCCTCTATCCCTACTGATTCCACGACGCCTCTTCCAGCGACCGACGATGCCGATCCACCCATACCTTCAGACTGCTGCTATTTTTGTCTCACACGTGGAGGCAACGCGGCTTACGAATGTCACACAGAACAAGGAGCAGACCTATGTACACGCTGTATACGGGATAAGAAGAAGAAATGTCGATTGCCCACACCGGAAGAATCAGCAGCGATAGCGGCACGCTGTCCACGATGCGCCATACGGGGGTTCAAGCAGTGTGACGGAAGTGACCCTTGCGATACTTGTATTCGCAATAAACCGTACATTTATGTCGCAAGCTGCCCGAGAAAAAGAAGCCCAAGCCGGAGGAAGTAGGTGCAAGAATCGAGATTGCCCCTCAGTCTGAAGCTATTGCACCAGAGCAGTCCAGCAGAGGCCGAAGAACCTAACGTAGCGAGGCACTCCAAACCAACAATGACACACAGCTCACTACGGAGGATTTGAGTGACGGCTTCGATCGCAAAACCAACGGCACATGTAGATCGAAACGCAGAAAGGTCTTACCGAGCAGTACACCCGATCAGCATACACAGGTGGCTAGCCCGCAGTCAAGCCCACCCAGGTCGAGTTTGCGCAAAGCCCCAGGGACACCAGAAAAGCATATCGAAGCAAACGAAGAAGCGCATGATGGCGACGACATGCTACCTTCACCCGTCACTTCGAACGACCCTGTCTTAGGAGACGATCCCAAGTCAGCGGCAGCATCTGGTGATGAGGACGTTCCGATGATGGACAACGACACGGATCAGGGAAAAGAGGTCAACACGTTAAGCATTGGTCGTAGTGGACGCTCCAGCAGGGCTCGGCCTAGGGTGTCCTATGTTGAACCTATGCTTGAGGACGTATCCGACCAAGACCTGAGTCTCACAGCCGAAGACGAAGATGAGGACGTGTCAGACATCTACAGTTCTCCTACAACGGACGAAGAAGAAGAAAGCGAAGCGGAGATTGATGCTGCATCTTCTGATGAGGAAGCATCGGGCGCCAGTGACGCTGAATCGCTAGATGTTTCGTTCGATGAAGACGTCATCCCGGTGGAAGACGATCAGCCCAAGCCAAACCCACGCCGGAACACTAAGACTGGAGAACCAAGTCGAGCTGGCAAAGGCATCGATCTAAGCCTTCCTCCGCTCTCGAACATCCAAGACTGCATGTTTGATATGACTGCCAGGGCAGTAAACCTCGGCCTTTGTGAAGCTCTTCAAAATCTAGGAGAAAGACCTATCAGAGTAGCGACCATGTGTTCCGGCACCGAGTCGCCGTTGCTGGCCCTGGATGAGATCTCGAAAGGTCAGTCGCATCAACGCCTAGAGGGGGATGTAAGCTAACATTATCTTTAGCACTAGAAAGGATGGGGAAATCACCGATGTGCATTCAGCAAGACTTTTCTGCAGAAATCGAGGTCTTCAAGCAAGGATACATCGAGAGAAACTTTGCCCCAAAGAAGCTGTTCCGAGACGTCCGTGACTTCCTTCGCAAGGACACCACCACCGCCATGACAGCGTACGGAGCAGAGGTAGACATTCCCACGCGCATAGATGTCCTCATCGCCGGCTTCGTCTGCAAAGATCTCTCCAGGATGAACAACAAAGGCAAAACTCTCGACGACGGTGGCGAATCGGGCGACACATGGCGAGCAATCTACACCTACGCGGAGCGCTTTCGCCCCAGCCTAGTACTGCTGGAGAATGTCAAGAATGAGAAGAAGACTTGGGATGACGTGGTACAAAGATGGTCCAAGATCGGTTACGAAGCTCAATGGATCTATTGCGACACGAAAAACTACTATCTGCCGCAAACCCGAGAGAGAATGTGCAGGATCGCTGTGGAGCGTAGCCATTTCGGTAAAGATGTGAAGAGAGCGACATACCAGTGGAAGGTGTTGATGCAAAACTTGGAAAGTCAGTGCAGTAGCCCTTACGAGGCGTTTCTCTCTGAATCGCTGAAAGAGTCAAGTGGTTACAGCATTTTGAAGAACGAGCCGGACTGGGCTTTGTGCAAGCTCCGGAATGACTACATTCGGTCTGAGAAGAAACTCGGGATACTCAGTCCTGTGAGCCGGCGGAGCGACAACGGCACGGTCATGTAAGCTTGCACAACACAGCTATGTCTTTGATATCCGGGCTAACGAAAATGCAGGCCTCCCGATTTCGCTGACCGAAAGTTTTACAATTCTCAATCTTCGAGAGTACATGATGCTATCGACATTGCTCACCTAGAGTTTGCTGCTCTCAAGGGCTGCGACTCGCTCTACAAGATGGCGCTATGGGATGTCAGTCAGAACGTCGATCGATTCAAGGCAGATTTGGGCATTGCGCCATGCCTGACTCCAGGCGGGCAGCACACTTTGAATGGTAGTCAGCTTTTGATCCTTCAAGGCATGCCGCTCGATCGACTACTGTTCGCGAACGAAACACAAAAGGACCTGCAAAACCTCGCTGGCAACGCCATGTCAACTACAGTGATCGGGGCGTCTCTCATTTCTGCTCTCATTGCCGGCTCGCAAGCTTTCCGTTCCG